GGGGGGGGGGGGGGGCAGGAGAGGGGTTGTGTGTGCAGCGGGGCGGAGGGCGGCGAGGACCTGTACTGGAACGAGGGCCTGCTCCTCCGGTCATAGGCCCCGTCCTCGGACCCAGCCTCGCTCAGCCTCGCCAGGGTCGCCAGCGAGGCGGTGGTCGGCTGGAGGACCCCCGGGGTGCGCGGGCGGGGGACGTTCGCCGGCGAGTACCGGCGAGGAGACTGTTGCGGCGACGGCGCCGGCGCCGGTGGCGGAGGCGGCGAGTCGCTCGGCGAGGAGGGCGGCGCGGCTCCGAAGGCGTGCTTGCTCCTCCGACGAACCGTGCCGGAGCCGTCGGACGACTCGGCCAGCTGCCCGCGAGGGGTGCCGCAGCCGTCGGAGGGGCTGCCGGGGGTGGGCGGCGGCGGGTACCTGCCTGGAGTGCCGGGCGGCGGCGGCCGAAAGATGCCCCGACGAGCGGCCGGCGACCCGACGGCGACCTGCAGATCGCCCGCCGCGGAAGTCCGCTCGAGCGCGCCGCCGCCCGAGTCCGACGACCAGCTGTCGTCCAGCCGGAGATCTTGGAGGGGCTGCAGCGGGCGCGGCGGCGAGGGCGAGGCCGAGGTGGAGGGCGGTGCCGTCCACTCCCTCCCCCCAACCGGTTGCCCCTCGCTCGCCCCCTCCCTCTGCCGCTTATCCGTCGCCCGCGCTGGGGTCACGGCGCCGCTGGAAGGAGGAAACGAACGAGAGCGGCGCGAGCCGGCGATGAAGGCAGCGGCGATGTCCACCGCTGTCCTCTCGCGCCGCCGCGACCGCTGGTCGCGCAGCCGGCTGCCCCGCTGGTAGAGGACGAGGCAGAGTGCGCAGCAGAGGCCGGGCTCGACTCGACGCTCGAAGCAGGCGAAATCGCAGGGTTGTGCAGACGCTCGAAGCAGGCTGCCCGTGCCGCTTCATCCGCACCGCATGGGAGGGCGCGCCGCCGGCGTGCCCTGCGAGCAGCAGCGGCCGCGCGGCGAGATCTCGCCGGGCGGGGCGGGAGGTGGTCGGGTGCCGGGCGCATCTAACGAAGATCTGGAGCGTATCCAGCCCAGGTTAGGCGGCGCGGCAGCCGAGACGGCGGCGGCGCGGAATCGGCGTGCCGAGAGGCGCGGCGGCGATCTGACCGCGCCGACGAGCGGTCCGGCGCCGCACCGCGCCGGAGGGATGCACGGAGGAGATGCTAGCGTGGACGAGGCATAGCGGCGAGAGGGGCGAGAGAGACTGCAGGCGCTGGGAGCAGAGCGAGAGGCGCCCGCTTGTAAAATAAAGAATTCTTGGCTGGGTGCTCCGCTCGAAAAAAAAATCCTTTTCGCAAATCGATAGGGAATGACCTGGGAGCCCCAGAAATCGCCCCGTATTTTTGGGGGCTGGTGCGAGGCGAGGCGAGGCCTGCGTGGCGGCTTCTGGGAGGGGCTAGGAGAGGGGCGGGTTTGGCGGGAGAGGGGTCCGCGGGCGGCGCGAGCGGGCGTCCGGTGAGCGGTGTGGACGGGGCCGTGCGTGGTTTTTTGAGCTTCGGCGGCGGGGCGGCGCCGTGGCCGTCGGGAGGCGAGGAATGTAGCAGCTGCTGTCCCGCACTGCTGCAGGCCGCCTGGCAGGCGGTGTCATGGCGCCCCGTGAGGTGCGCGGGGGAGGCCAGCGGCGCCGGGCCTGCCGCGCGGGGGCGGGCGGGGGCGGGGGCGGCGAGGTGGGCCCGTGCGAGCTGCTTTGGCACCCGAAATAAAGTCGGTCGTCCAAAGTCGAGCAGAGGGCCTGGAGATTTGCAGCGCGCGCGGGGAGGGCCATGGTGGTCGGTGGTTTTGTCGGACGAGGACGATCCTGGGGGCTGCGGACGTCTCCTGCCGATCCTCCGCACGGCCGTTGGTCGCGGGTTGCGCGGGTCGCTCGTGGGGCGGCGTGGGGTCCGTCCTCGCGCGGGCTCTGAAGCGAGGCGATTTTCGCCCTCCCGCGTCGGCATTTTGAGGGCCTTCCCGAGGGCTTCGGGCGGTGCGGGTTTGATGGGGCGGTAGCGCGGGGCGGCCTCCACCGTTTTCGCAAAAACCGCGTTTTCCGCGCGCGCCGGCGTCGCCCCGGGAGTCGCTGCGCTCCACGACTTTCTCCCGGGCTCCGCCGGGGTAAGGTTGCGCGGTGGCAATGAATCTCTCTCCCTCTCTTTCTCTTCCTGCGCGCGCAGCGCGCGATTTTTTCGCGAGGTTGACCGTTTTATCGATTTTGGAGCCCTTCTTCGAGCCGTGGCGGGGGAGCGTGTAACCCTAACTTAACCCTAGCTCTCGACGTGATCCTAACCCTAACGTCATGACGGTGTGCCACCTCTAACCCTAACCGCAACACTACCCTGGCTAACCCTAACGACACCCGGCAATCTTTATGCTTGGGGCGCTCGAGAGCGCCGCGTGTGCGAGGAGAGCCGGCCGAGCTCGCCGGAGGCGGTCTCGTGGCGAAGACGGCGGCGGTGAGATGGAGGGTTGCGGCGGGATCGAAGGCATTTTTTCCGTCGGCACGGCGGTCGGCCACCGCCGATGCGAGGCTGCGCCTCGCCTTTGCTGCTCGGCGCAGCGGGTGGTGACGCTGTGACCGAGGGAGCCGACGCAACATCGAGAGTCGCGACCGCGCGGTGTCGAGGTGACGTGACAGCGAAAAGAGCACGAGAGAGGCGGCCGGCGCTCCGAGTCGATGAGCGAAGACCCTAGCAGCGACAGCACGAAGCGTGAGCGAGAGCGAGCGGGTGCGGGTCAGGTGGCGCTGGTGTCGACTCCTGCAGAGCGAGGCAGTGAGTGCGATGGCGGCCGCAGAGCAGTTTCGGAACCGGCGGTGGCGAGGGCGGCGGCAAGTGCAGGAGAGCGAGTCCGTCGCATGCACACGGAAATGCCATGGCTACGCAGTGGGTGGTGTGAACGGAGCGGAGGCGTTGCGTGGGTGCACGCTGCGACGCGCCTGCGCGAGCGTGAGCAAATGGCGAGCGTGTGCCGTCCGCGACCGAAAAAGAATTTTGGGGGCCGGTAAGAATTTTCGACAAGGCGGTCGCATGAAACGATTCACGCGACAGGCGAGGCAGGAAAAGAATTGGAACCCGGAAAACGAAGGATCGACGCGCCGAGATGGATGCGCTGAGAAGAATAAAAACATTTGTCAGACGCCATTCAAAGGCCAGAGCGGCTTGACGGCGAAAAAAAGACTTAGCGGCTTTGAGGTGTGAAAAGACGGTTCTCACACTTTTCGGCTCGGGTAGGGCTCGAGGCGCCGATTCATCAGCCGCCGTGCGAGGGGCGTGCTGCGCGTGTGCTGCGCTGCACGCTCGGCGCTGTAGCGCGGCGCGGAGCGCCCTTGAGGCGGCGAGAAGGCGCCGGACGGCGTTCACGGCTCGAGGTGTGAAGAGGCGCCGTTCACACTCTTTGCTATGAATAGAGCTCGGCTCGCCGACTCGTGAGACGGCCTTCACCGTGCGTGGCCAGCGCGTGCTTCTCTGTACGCGCCGCGCTCTCTTTGCGGCGCGCAGCGCCGCTAGAGCGGCTTGACGGCGAAACAAAGACTTAGCGGCTTTGAGGTGTGAAGAGACGGTTCTCACACTTTTCGGCTCGGGTAGGGCTCGAGGCGCCGATTCATTAGGCGCCGTTCACGGGGCGCGTCGCGCGTGTACTGCGCTACACGCTCGGCGCTGTTAGTACGGCGCGGAGCGCCTTTGGGGCGGTGAGAAGTTGCCGGACGGCGTTCACGGTGTCGAGGTGAAGAGACGCCGTTCACACTTCATGCTATGAACAGGGCTCGGCTCGCCGATTCAAGAGACGGCATTCGCGGTGCGTGTGCAGCGCATGCTCCTCTTTACGCGCCGCGCTCTCTTTGCGGCGCGCAGCGCCGCTAGAGCGCCTTGACGGCGAAACAAAGACTTAGCGGCTTTGAGGTGTGAAGAGACGGTTCTCACACTTTTCGGCTCGGATAGGGCTCGAGGCGCCGTTTTATCAGACGCCGTGCAAGGGGCGTGTCGCGCGTGTGCTGCGCTACGCGCTCGGCGCCGTTTGCACGGCGCGGAGCGCCCTTGGGGCGGTGAGAAGTTGGCGGACGGCGTTCACGGCTCGAGGTGTGAAGAGACGCCGTTCACACTTCATGCTATGAACAGGGCTCGGCTCGCCGATTCAAGAGACGGCATTCGCGGTGCGTGTGCAGCGCATGCTCCTCTTTACGCGCCGCGCTCTCCACGCGGCGCGCAGCGCCGCTAGAGCGCCTTGACGGCGAAAAAAAGACTTAGCGGCTTTGAGGTGTGAAATGACGGTTCTCACACTTTTCGGCTCGGATAGGGCTCGAGGCGCCGTTTTATCAGACGCCGTGCAAGGGGCGTGGCGCGCGTGTGCTGCGCTACGCGCTCGGCGCCGTTTGCACGGCGCGGAGCGCCCTTGGGGCGGTGAGAAGTTGCCGGACGGCGTTCACGGCTCGAGGTGTGAAGAGACGCCGTTCACACTTTCTGCTATGAATAGGGCTCGGCTCGCCGACTCACGAGGCGGCCTTGGCGGTGCGTGTGCAGCACGCGCTCCTCTGTACGCGCCGCGCTCTCCACACGGCGCGCAGCGCCGCTAGAGCGGCTTGACGGCGAAAAAAAGACTTAGCGGCTTTGAGGTGTGAAAAGACGGTTCTCACACTTTTCGGCTCGGATAGGGCTCGAGGCGCCGATTTATCAGACGCCGTGCGAGGGGCGTGTCGCGCGTGTGCTGCGCTGCACGCTCGGCGCCGCTAGCACGGCGCGCAGCGCCCTTGGGGCGGTGAGAAGGCGCCGGACGGTGTTCACACGGCTCGAGGTGTGAAGAGGCGCCGTTCACACTCTTTGCTATGAATAGGGCTCGGCTCGCCGACTCGTGAGACGGCCTTCACCGTGCGTGTGCAGTGTGTGCTCCTCTGCACGCGCCGCGCTCTCTTTGCGGCGCGCAGCGCCGCTAGAGCGGCTTGACGGCGAAAAAATGACTTAGCGGTTTCGAGGTGTGAAATGACGGTTCTCACACTTTTCGACTCGGATAGGGCTCGAGGCGCCGATTTATCAGACGCCGTGCGAGGGGCGTGTCGCGCGTGTGCTGCGCTGCACGCTCGGCGCCGTTAGCACGGCGCGCAGCGCCCTTGGGGCGGTGAGAAGGCGCCGGACGGTGTTCACGGCTCGAGGTGTGAAGAGGCGCCGTTCACACTCTTTGCTATGAATAGGGCTCGGCTCGCCGACTCGTGAGACGGCCTTCACCGTGCGTGTGCAGTGTGTGCTCCTCTGCACGCGCCGCGCTCTCTTTGCGGCGCGCAGCGCCGCTAGAGCGGCTTGACGGCGAAAAAATGACTTAGCGGTTTCGAGGTGTGAAATGACGGTTCTCACACTTTTCGACTCGGATAGGGCTCCAGGCGCCGTTTTGTCAGACGCCGTTCACGGGGCGTGCGTCGTGTGTGCTGCGCTGCACGCTCAGCGCTGTTAGCACGGCGCGGAGCGCCCTTGGGGCGGCGAGAAGGCGCCGGACGGCTTTCACACGGCTCGAGGTGTGAAGAGGCGCCGTTCACACTCTTTGCTATGAATAGAGCTCGGCTCGCCGACTCAAGAGACGGCCTTCGCGGTGCGTGCGCAGCACGTGCTCCTACGCACGCGCCGCGCTCTCCACGTGGCGCGCAGCGCCGCCAGAGCGGGTTGACGGCGAAAAAATGACTTAGCGGTTTCGGTGTGAAAAGACGGTTCTCACACTTTTCGGCTCGGATAGGGCTCGAGGCGCCGTTTTATCAGACGCCGTGCAAGGGGCGTGTCGCCCGTGTGCTGCGCTACGCGCTCGGCGCCGTTTGCACGGCGCGTAGCGCCCTTGGGGCGGTGAGAAGTTGCCGGACGGCGTTCACGGCGTCGAGGTGTGAAGAGACGCCGTTCACACGTTCTGCTATGAATAGGGCTCGGCTCGCCGACTCACGAGGCGGCCTTGGCGGTGCGTGTGCAGCACGCGCTCCTCTGTACGCGCCGCGCTCTCCACGCGGCGCGCAGCGCCGCTAGAGCGGCTTGACGGCGAAAAAAAGACTTAGCGGCTTTGAGGTGTGAAAAGACGGTTCTCACACTTTTCGGCTCGGATAGGGCTCGAGGCGCCGATTTATCAGACGCCGTGCGAGGGGCGTGTCGCGCGTGTGCTGCGCTGCACGCTCGGCGCCGCTAGCACGGCGCGCAGCGCCCTTGGGGCGGTGAGAAGGCGCCGGACGGTGTTCACACGGCTCGAGGTGTGAAGAGGCGCCGTTCACACTCTTTGCTATGAAAAGGGCTCGGCTCGCCGACTCGTGAGACGGCCTTCACCGTGCGTGTGCAGTGTGTGCTCCTCTGCACGCGCCGCGCTCTCTTTGCGGCGCGCAGCGCCGCTAGAGCGGCTTGACGGCGAAAAAATGACTTAGCGGTTTCGAGGTGTGAAATGACGGTTCTCACACTTTTCGACTCGGATAGGGCTCGAGGCGCCGATTTATCAGACGCCGTGCGAGGGGCGTGTCGCGCGTGTGCTGCGCTGCACGCTCGGCGCCGTTAGCACGGCGCGCAGCGCCCTTGGGGCGGTGAGAAGGCGCCGGACGGTGTTCACGGCTCGAGGTGTGAAGAGGCGCCGTTCACACTCTTTGCTATGAATAGGGCTCGGCTCGCCGACTCGTGAGACGGCCTTCACCGTGCGTGTGCAGTGTGTGCTCCTCTGCACGCGCCGCGCTCTCTTTGCGGCGCGCAGCGCCGCTAGAGCGGTTTGACGGCGAAAAAATGACTTAGCGGTTTCGAGGTGTGAAATGACGGTTCTCACACTTTTCGGCTCGGGTAGGGCTCGAGGCGCCGATTCATCAGCCGCCGTGCGAGGGGCGTGCTGCGCGTGTGCTGCGCTGCACGCTCGGCGCTGTAGCGCGGCGCGGAGCGCCCTTGAGGCGGCGAGAAGGCGCCGGACGGCGTTCACGGCTCGAGGTGTGAAGAGGCGCCGTTCACACTCTTTGCTATGAATAGAGCTCGGCTCGCCGACTCGTGAGACGGCCTTCACCGTGCGTGGCCAGCGCGTGCTTCTCTGTACGCGCCGCGCTCTCTTTGCGGCGCGCAGCGCCGCTAGAGCGGCTTGACGGCGAAAAAATGACTTAGCGGTTTCGAGGTGTGAAGAGACGATTTTCACACTTTTCGACTCGGATAGGGCTCGAGGCGCCGATTCATTAGACGCCGTTCACGAGGCGCGTCGCGCGTGTACTGCGCTACACGCTCGGCGCTGTAGTACGGCGCGGAGCGCCTTTTGGGCGGTGAGAAGTTGCCGGACGGCGTTCACGGTGTCGAGGTGTGAGCCTCTCGTCGCCTCTCCTCTCGTCTCCTCTCGTCGCCTCTCCTCTCCTCTCCTCTCGTCTCGTCTCGTCTCGTCTCCCCTCCTCTCTGTGTACACGATCAAACCATCACCCCAGCGCTCGCGCATCAAGTCGGCGATGAGAGCGTTCATGCGTTCCGTGTCAATCTCGCCATTGCTGCGCCGAGACCCGACGCGTACATCTAACAGACATCTAATTAGACGCTTCCCATTGCTGGTGGAGGAGAACCATCTCCGCTGGGCTGCAGACGGGCGCAGTTCAGCGAGGGTGGCGAACTTCTTGAAGGGCGGCTCTTGAGTAGTGTCGAGTGAAGGAGCTCGCTAATAGGCCGTCGCAAGAAAGAAGGAAAATTCCCCGGGTGTCTTCATTGGAGGCAACCGATGCGAGTCGACTGGTGTGTGTCGTCGTGGTTTCGTATCTAAAGAAAAAGTCATGACGAGACACACACACACTAGAAGAACACACTCGCTTGCACCGAGAGTCTCACATGCACATATTCTGAAAGGGCGCGAGGGCACAGGGGCAAGGGGCTCCTTCCTAAGAAACCCCACGCCCGCCCTAGCAACCCAGAGTCCGTCCACTCGCGCTTGACGGGACACTCTCGCACGTGGATCCGCCATTCGCGCTGCTGTCTCTGGCCGCGCTAGCAGCAACCGCAGCCACGGGCTGCGCCGGGGGCGGGGGAGGCAGGCTCCGGTTCAGCTCGCGAGCCTCGATCACAACGCCCTCGTCCGCAGCATCCGCGCCGCGATGTAACCGCTCACCCACCGGCTTGACGGCTTCGCGGGCACCGACCGGCGTCGCCTCCTCCTCCGCCTGCGCCGCCTCCTTCGCCTCCTCCTCCGCCTGCGCCGCCGCCTTCTCCGCCGCCGCCTTTGCCGGCTTCGCCTCATACGGGCTCGGAGAAGGCGGAGCGGGCGGAGCAGGCGGAGAACACCTTGGGCTCCTTGGACTCCTTGGCGTGCCGGCGGGCGAGATCATCGCGCGGAGGCTCCGGCTCAGGTCGACCTGGCCCTGGATGGACGCCTCGAGCCTCGCCTGGAGGTGAGGCAAGGTAAGGTAGGGTAAGGTGAACGTCTCGCCACACACAAGGTGGCGGGGCAATGGCCAGGCCAACCCTCGCGGCTCCACGTCTAGGAGAGGCGTGAGCCCCACGGCATTCAACGTGCTAGGCCCGGTAACGCGTGGGTGGTGCGTGTGCGTGTGAGTGTGTGGGGGGAGGGCCACGCCTGGAGGAGCACGTCCGCCGCCTCCTCGAACGTGGGCCGCTCGAGCGGGTCGAAGGCGAAGCACGCCTCGGCGAGCTGCGCGACGGCCTGCGGCCACTCTGCCGGCGCGAAGCAAAGCGCGCCGGGCTGCCCCCCGGGGTTCGAGGTCGGCCGCATCTCGCCCTTGGTCACCTTGTTGAGGAGGTCGAGCGGCGAGAGGTGGCCGGACTCGAGCAGCGCGGCGAAGGGCGGCCGGCGGGTCGCGATGTGGACGAGCAGCCCGCCAAAGGACCAGACGTCGCACGGCTTGCCGTACCGGTCCTGCCGGAGCACCTCGGGCGCCATGTAGACGGGGGTACCGGCCATCGACATGGTCATCGCCGCGCTCGCTCGCTCGAGCGAGAAGGCGCCCGCGAGCAAGCCGGCGGAGGGGGCGGGCTGCATGTTCTCGCGCGACGCGCCAAAGTCTGCCACCTTGGCAGTCATCATCGGCAGTTTGAGCAGCACGTTGCCCGGCTTGAGGTCGCGGTGGATCACGCGGTGGCTGTGAAGGTACGCCATCCCGCGCGCCACCTCGGTGGCCACGCTGAGGTACGGCGTCGTCCACGAGGCGGGCGTGCCGCGCGGCGTGTTCGCCTGGAGGTGTGGGGAGGTGTGCGGAGGTGTGGGGAGGTGTGGAGAGGTGTGGGGAGGTGTGGGGAGGTGTGGAGAGGTGCGGGGAGGTGCGGGGGGGTGTGCGGAGGTGTGGGGAGGTGCGGGGAGGTGTGAGGAGGTGCGGGGAGGTCGCCTGGCTGAGGAAGTCGTCCAGCGCGAGGTCCATCAGCTCCGTCAGGATGCCGTGGTTGCGGTCGCCGTCCGAGACGAGCCCGAGGGTGAGGAGCACGTTTGGGTGGCGGAGCTTGAGCGCGAGGCGGCACTCCTCGACCAGCACCTGCATCGCTCGGTTGGCCGCCTCCTTGCTGAAGCGCAGCCGCTTGCACGCCACCCCCGTCGAGGCGTACAGTGCGTGGTAGACGTCTCCGGCGGCGCCCGAGCCGATGAGCTCGCCGAGGGAGATCGCGTCCCACG